ATCGACAAAAGGTTAAGATTTATTTTGATGTTGTTTTTATAAGACGAAAATTCTAACCACAAACGAACCAAAATCCTTATTATTCTCGTATTTGATCATAAAATTGTAATTATCATTCCCTCAATAGTAGCTAAATCATGTTTAAAATTTTAACATATTATCATTTTTGATAGATCGACTATTTTACTTGCATGGCATCAAAAGCTCACAAGCACTAAAATTGAAGAAAGTTTTTTTTCTTCATGATCTCAACTTTCCGCCACTCCCCCATCCTTTTGATGGAAAGCATATCTCCTATGCCGCCGCCTCCTGCGTATTATTGCCTCTTGGTCTTCGTAATAAATCTCTCCTTTCTCTCTCATGTTCTCTCTTAGTGTCCACATAAGACATTATTTAGACATTACTGCGTATTTAGACATTGGTAAGTATGACCTCTGTTAATGAATGTGATGAATGAATACACATTATTTCATGGAGCATAACCCAAATGAACTGGTTAGTTTTCTTCCTTAGCTTTACTTTCCACGCTTGAGTTCGACTTGATTTTTGCTAACCGATAAATCGATAGCCTTTTCCTCATGATATTTAATACAACCAATCGACTAACTCGAATTAAGCTCTTAAATTTTTATTTATTGAGATAAAAAGAAATTCTCATCTAACCCATTGGACCATAGTTCAACTTAGGGAAACTGCATTTTTGGACCAGAAATATTGTCATCGGTCCTTTTTGGATCTGATCTTTTAACATTGGCCAATTTAAACCCGAACCTCAAATTAATTCAAATTCGATACTCAAACGTACGATTTTATTGTTGATTTAGACCTTGACCAAGTCACCGTTAGTCAACGTTAACGGAGCAGTGACGTTATCTGGCCTTTTTGGACCTGATCTTTTAACATTGGTCAATTTAAACCTGAATCTCAAATTAATTCGATGCAATATTAATTTTTATTTTTAAAAAAATTAATAAATTCACTTCATAATTCTAAATAAAAATCTAGAATCAGAATTAAAAATTAAATTTTAATTTGATAAATATAAAAATTATAAATCCGAAATTTAAACTGAAATTAAATTTTTTTATCAAGTTCTAATTTCCAATCTTAATTCTAAATTCCATACCTAAATATCTAATATCCAATCCTAATTTTTTCAAGTTCTAATTTCCAATCTTAATTCTAAATTCTAAACCTAAATATCTAATTTTCAAACCTAATTTTATCAAGTTTTAATTTTCAATCTTAATTCTAAATTCCATACCTAAATATCTAATTTCCAATCCTAATTCTAAATTCCAAACCTAAATATCTAATTTTCAATCCTAATTCTAAATATCTAATTTCTAATCCTAATTTTTTCAAGTTCTAATTTCCAATTTTAATTCTAAATTTCAAACCTAAATATCTAGTTTTCAATCATAGTTCTAATTTCCAATTTTAATTCTAAATTCCAAACCTAAATATGTAGTTACCAATCCTAATTTTATCAAGTTCTAATTTCCAATCTAGAACATATAGAATTAGGATTGAAAATTAGATATTAATAAGAACTTGATAAAATTAGGATTGGAAATTAGATATTTAGGTTTGAAATTTAGAATTAAGATTGGAAATTAGAACTTGAAAAAATTAGGATTGGAAATTAGATATGGAATTTAGAACTAAGATTGGAAATTAGAACTTGATAAAAAAAAATTAATTTC